AGGTGATTTTTTTACCAGTTGTCACGTACATAACATGCGATTTAAGAATATGAGGAAGTATTCAAGCAAACAACGTTAATTTATTGTAAAAACGCATTTCAAAAATGGTGAAAGTTTCACGAAAACAGTTTGCCAATTACGTAAAGTTTTCAGTCGCAATAATGCGCCGAACGAATCGACAGTAATAACCAAACAATTCGTGTCGGAGATAAGCCCTTTGAATGGATCGGACTGTCGTGTTTAGCAGATCCGCGATTTGGAGGGAAGATAACCCTTGTTCCCTCATTTGTCACATTTGTGGAATCAGTTCCAACTAGTCGGGCGTTAGATGCGGCATCGAAACTATCAAAATCTGTTTATGATTCGAAAACGACGTCTATCCTGACTTGTCAGTCACTTACTGTGATTCTTGTAACGTTGGTTACGGGCCATGCATTACAGAGGAGAATTGGTCTGATGTTTTTGCAAGAACATGTTTCAATTGTGTTTTCTCACGCACATTCTTGAGTACTGAGAGCGAGGAAAATATGGACACATCCAGAATGAATTGTTTTTCCGAGAACGAGTTGATTTTCATTCAATTCTCCTCCCAACCGAGATTCGGAGGGCGTTCCAGATTTGGGTCACTTTCAAGAAAACTCTAGATCTTTGATAGCCATCTTGAGTCAATTATGATATTCAGATCTCTTTATCTGGAGTTTTATCTTCAAAATGAGCCTAAGATTTCCAAAATCGGTTGACGTGGAAAAAAGTTATGGCTGCAAAACCAGAAAGTTGATTTTTTGAGATCACTCTGTAAATAAGAGAGATAGGAAGTTGATTCGCGGAATATCTCGAGGTAATGAGATCATCTTCATGCCTCTGTTGTCGAAGTTGAGAAAAAAAATTTTTTCACCATTTGAGAGCGTTTTGAATATTCCGAAATTTTGCACAGTGTCGGAAAACACCATGTAGAGATTTTATGTGGATACCCTTATGTTTCAATGAAGTACCAGATTATAGCTGAAGGACTGGGCTATCTAACAGTGTGTACCAAATTCAAATTGTTCTAAACTGAAAAAAGTTATTCACATTATAACAGGGGCGACATTTTGGTGTGCGACGAAATTAGTGTTGAGTAGTTTATAATAAAAACAGTAATGGTCCTAGAACAGAGCCTTGCGGAACACCGTGGAGTATTTTATTATTATCAGAGTATTAACCGTCGCTGCGCACAATTTGATTGCGTCCTGCCAAATATGAATCGAACCAATCCCAAACTGTACCCCTGAATCCATATTTGCTCAGTTTTCTCAAAAGCAGTTCATAATTCACACAGTCAAATGCTTTGGAAAAGTCGCAGAAAATTACTGCAGCTGCCACATCAGTTCGAACCCCTTGATTGGTTGAAAGTATTGAGAGTTTTGAAAAGAAATATTCACAAGTGAACCGTGACGCCATAATAAAGTTATCGTTACGTCATAATAAAGTTTGCCTAGTTAGGTTCGTGGAAAAACGACTTTATAGTAGGGAAGCCCAAGCGGAGATTTCGGGGTTTACTCGAGCGCGGCAGATTAACATAAGGGAGGTATCCTTGGAACTTGTGAAGTACTCCCACCATACCTGGGCCCTTTATATGGTGTCGAAAGTTTAGGGCAGACGATCAGATTATTACAAAAAAAATGGATCGTCAGAAATACTCGAGCTCGTCAGAAGACATGGTACGTTAATTACATGCAGAAAAGTATGCATTTCAATAATCTATTTGGGAGAGCCACAAAGTTGCAAAAAAAATCGTCACCTGTACATTCTCGAGCGCGATTAATTTTTTTCTCATTTTGAAGGCAATTAGTCACAGATCACGGAAAAAACATAATCTGTCAATTTGCACAAGCCGAAGAAGCGAAAATCATCAAACAAGTGTGGTGCTTGCAGCCACTGGGAACTATGTATGTAATTGTGGTAACGTAGGAAACTGAAAAAAAAAGTCACGTCGTATATTGTCATTAATGCTTGAACCTTGTCAGCTCATAAGGAGGGATCTGAAAATACAATAAAATACAAGTTGTGCTATAAGAAAAAGTATAACTTTGATACGCCACGCAATTTTTGAGTAATCCTGTATAACGCAAAATATTTTAGAAATGTACAGCTCATGAGACTAGACCATCTCAAGAATTTTTGTTCGTCTATTTCAAACAGCAAAGCCGTTATCTCACTTTGCCACACGATTGGTCCACCCTGTATGTCTACATGAGCCTTATTCCATCTCAAAATTTTGAATTCTTCGAGCTGTTGAAGTCCTGCTACAAAAGTTGGCTCACCCTGTATATTTTATATTTTAGTTATAACATTCAGTTAACAAAAAAAATTCAACCGGCAGCGTCTGTATAATAATCTGCCGCGCTCGAGTATTTCAAGGTCCTGTTTTTTTTGTTCAGTTTCAAAAATTGATCATGACTTTTGGTCGCGTCCAAATCGTCAGTCTTTTCTTTTTAATTTTTGAACACCTGTACACGCTCTCCCCACCAGTGAAAGGTCATATATCATAAAAACTTTTTTTCATTTTCGCCTCTAATATTCACAATCTGATACGTCCCCACGACGCTCAAGTAAATCCCTATTTAGCCTATTTGCCTCCCCCTCTGAGGTCCTTACCAATGCTAAGTTTCATCAAGATAATTGAAGAATCTTGTGCCTCTGTGGCCGATCAAATCAAGCAGCATCAAAACGTCGATCATCTCCAAATCCCCGCAAATGTACAACTGTGTTATTATCCCCACCATTCGCGGTTCCATTCATTTATCCGTGCTTGACACTTAGGATCGTTGGCGTATATGTTTCAATGTATTTTAAATGAATCGCAGTGTCTGTCTATTGTTATTTAGTCTGAGCAATCTCCCGCAAATGTACGAGTGTGCTAGTATCCCCACCACTAGCTATTTCATTCATTTACCCGTGATTGTTGGCATACGTATTCTTTGCAATGATTCACCAATGAATAGCAGTGTCTACCCAATGTTAATCAATCTGAGATACTTACCAATGCTGAGTTTCGTCGAGAGAATTGTAGAACCTTGTGCCTCTCTGACCGATCAAATCGAGCAGCACCAAAACGTCGATCCTCTCCAAATTCCCGCAAATGTACAACCGTGTTATTATCCCCACCATTCGCGGTTCCATTCATTTATCCGTGCTTGACACTTAGGATCGTTGGCTTATACGTTTCAATGTATTTTAAATTAATCGCAGTGTCTGTCTATTGTTATTTAGTCTGAGCAATCTCCCGCAAATGTACAAGTGTGCTAGTACCCCCACCACTAGATATTTCATTCATTTACCCGTGTTTGGCGTTCAGGATTGTTGGCATACGTATACTTTGCAATGATTCCCCAATGAATCGCAGTGTCTACCCAATGTTATTCAATATGAGATCCCTACCAATGTCGAAAGAATTGTAGAACCTTGTGCCTCTATAACCGATCAAGATCAAATCAAGCAGCACCAAAACGTCGATCCTCTCCAAATCCCCGCAAATGTACAAGTGTCTGTTATTATCCCCACCATTCGCGGTTCCATTTATTCATCCGTGTTTGGCACTTAGGATCGTTGGCGTATACGTTTCAATGTATTTCAAATGTGTATTTTAAATGAATCGCAGTGTCTGAATGTGTATGTGTGCTAGTATCCCCATCATTCGCTATTTCATTCATTTATCCATGTTTGGCGTTTAGGATTGTTGGCATAGGTATACTTTGCAATGATTCCCCAATGAATCGCAGTGTCTACCCAATGTTAATCAATCGGAGATCCTTACCAATGCTGAGTTTCGTCGAAATAAGTGTAGAACCTTGTGCCTCTGTGACCGATCAAATCGAGCAGCACCAAAACGTCGATCCTTTCCAATTCCCCGCAAATGTACAACTGTGTTATTATCCCCACCATTCGCGGTTCCATTCATTTATCCGTGTTTGGCACTCAGGATCGTTGGCGTATTCGTTTCGATGTATTTTAAATGAATCGCAGTGTCTGTCTATTGTTATTTAGTCTGACATAGATAGCAATTTGAAGTTTGACCATCATATATCAGCTCTTAAGAAAAAAATATCAGCTGGCTGCTTCGCAGTCAATGTTATATCCCGTGAACCTGGATTGCAAGCTTCAATATCAGCATACTACTCACTTATTGAATCGCATCTACGGTATGGAATTTCATTCTGGGGGTGTAGCTGTCATGGTCTCTTAAATAGTGTTTTCGTCCTTCAAAAACGAGCTCTGAGATTTGTATTCAAACTCAAGCCGCGTGACTCATGCAGGCCAATGTTTCACAACTATAAGATATTGACGGTCTTTGAAATTTTTGTTTTAGAAACAGTCTGTTTGCTTCACAAATATAGAAGAAATTTCATGAACGCAAACATAGACAAGATTACGCGTAATAAAAGGAACCTTGCTCTTCCTCTGCCTACTTCATCTTTAACGAGACAATCCTTAATTTATAGGAGTAAAAAGATTTACAATCATTTACCAGAATGTACAACTATGATCAATGATTTGAAACAATTCCGTAGATCTGTCAAAGATATGTTAGTGGGAAAAGGCTTGTACAGTTTGGATGAATACTTTGCCTACAAATTCTAGTCTTTCTATGATATGTGAGAATAATTAGAGATTCATATTATTGATTTTGAAGATAATTGTTGTTTGTAATAATAATGAAACTTGTCTATGTTATTTTATTTTATATATTTTTGGTCTGTATTATTTTTATATATTCCTGTTCTGTTTTATTTATTTATAATCTTGCAATCGATGTATCGCAAGATACTGACTTTGTCGACAAAATGTGCTCATTTTAGACAATAAAGCTTATCTATCTATCTATCTATCTATCTATCTATCTATCTATCTGAGCAATCTCCCGCAAATGTACAAGTGTGCTAGTATCCCCACCATTCTTTGCAATGATTCCCCAATAAATCGCAGTGTCTACCTAATGTTATTCAATATCAGATCCTTACCAATGCTGAGTTTCGTCGAAAGAATTGTAGAACCTTGTGCCTCTGTGACCAATCAAATCGAGCAGCACCAAAACGTCGATCCTTTCCAATTCCGAAACGGTCTCCCCAGAAACCGTCCCCCGACTCCGGTGATAGCGATCGGCCAAATGTTTCGCCCCGTAGATGGAGTCTTTGGGGCCCCACTGGACGAAAGCTTCTTCTCCGTCGAAAAAGATCAACTTCAAGTTCAGATTGTGTTTTTGTTTCAATTGGTGCAGTTGGCTTTTCATGACCTTGGCGAGATTTAGCATCATGGCGCATGGAACGGCAGAATCCGTGGCACCTTAAATAATTGATGGGTTTCTAACGAAAACAATTTTGACATGAAATTTGACATTTTTAAAAACAGACGGCAGTTTTGAAACGTCTTACTTTACGTAACTAGTGAAATATTGCATAACTGGTGATGAAATGTTCATTTCAACCAGTGGCATGCTCAAGATTTTTTCTGGGGGTTATCAGTTCAATCAATGAATCAATAGTTTCATAGAAAAAATAGTTATTTATTTTACAAGGGAAAAAAGTAGTAGATTGTAGCTCCAGTTTGGGTTGCAAAAATCTAATATTTTTCCCGTGTATAATAGCCTATTTTTTTCTGTGACAGACAGACAGACAGAAAGGACGAATCAACATTGAGAAGATATTACATTATTTTGAAATCTGAAAAGTATCGACGTGAAGTAATCAAATATCTGATGTCACTTCTGTAAGTCTAATTCTGTGATTTGATTTCAAAAAATTCCAAATTTAGTGGTTGTTTAGTAATATACATAACCGCGAAGTCGAATGGAAGATAAAAGGACTTGGCAGTTCTTTCTCGGAGACGATATTATTGACCCATTTTTCGGAACTATAGCACAACAAAAGCCATCAACAGTGTATGTACAGGGTGGGCCACCAGTAACGCCTCGGTCTCTAGAAGGCTAACCACTTATCTTCTTGGAATTCTTCCTCTCGAGGAAGTCGCATGTCAACATAGGCTACCATTTGAAATTATTTCGAAATATACAGGGTGTCCCAAAAACCATAAAACACTGAAGTTAAACTTTTTTCTATCGAACACCCTATATATTATTTCATTTTGAGATTCTCCCTGATGAGCTGATTTCAACGACTTTCATACTTGGGGTCTAGCAGTTATAATTACTGAAATATAGGGTGTGAAAAATCGAGATTTTCCAAGTTCAAGAATTTTTTGTGTCGAAACTATTCATAATTGGTCAAAACGGCTTACATGTCCCTATCCCAACTTTTGATTAACTATCTACTGATATTTAATTGGGACATATACCGGGTGATCAAGATTCTGAATTCTGCACCACCCTGTATTTGTTTCAATTAAATGTCAGTATATATTTGATCAAAAGTTGAGATAGGGACATTTGAGCCGTTTTGACCAATTATGAATGGTTTAGACGCAAAAAATTCTTGAACTTGGAAAATCTCGATTTCTCACACTCTATATCTCAGTAATTATTACTGCTAGACCCCAAGTATGATGGATTGTTGAAATCAGCTCACCAGGGAGAATCTCAAAATGAAATAATATATAGGGTGTTCGATTGAAAAAAGTTCAACTTCAGTGTTTTGTGATTTTTGGGGACATCCTGTATGTTTCAAAATAATTTCAAATGGTAGCCTATGTTGACATGCAACTTCCTAGAGAGGAAGAATTCCAAGAAGATAAGTGGTTAGCCTTCTAGGGACCGAGGCGTTACTTTTGGCCCACCATGTATATGTGATATATATCCGGGAAAAAAGTACCCACTTTTTTCCCGCGGGAAAGAAGTAATTTATGAAAAGTGACATTTTATAACCTGCCAACATAGATGAAATGCCAAACTTTTTTCGCGTCACAGAAAAAAACATTTTATTGTGAAAACACCCGGACTACAGGCTTACAGCTGCTAGCAACATGAAAAGAAACTGTAACAACAAAAAATCCATATAACATTGTCATACTAATTAAATTGAAATCTCACTTCGAAATCACAATAAATAAACTTCAGTAAGGTAATACAGAAACGAGCCCAAACAATGATATTGAGTGAAACATTACTGACAAAAATTCAATTTTCACTCCTTTGATTTGCTCAAAAAATCTATGACCTCTTCAACACTTATTGGAATTTCTCGATGAATATTCAGTATTCTATCGGTCGGTTCTTGGGGGGTTGAAACCCCAAACCCCCCCTCTTGGATACGCCACTGATTTAAACACCAGTTACCTAAAGAAAATATGGATGATAGATGAAAAGAATAGTGCATTTTGTGCTTCTCCCTCTTCTTCTTCTCTCCTTCTCAGCTATTTTACATAATCGGTCGAACTCATCTATAGAACTGGCCATTATTTTTGTTCAAGCGAAATTTTTCATCAATGTTAGGAAAAATATTGTACGTAACATGTTAGGAAACGCATTTTGTGTGACGAGTTTCCTAACTGTGTAGGTAACGACCCAAATCAAACAGCTCGTTTTCATTATGTTCGCTAGATTAAGCATCATTACGCATCAACAACCAATATTACTACAAGCAAATCGAAAGACAAATTGAACACACTTGAAGAATCGGGAATTTACGCAACTTTTTGTAAGGACTGCGGCAAAACATATATAGGACAAACTTGGACACCTACTAAAACTAGGTTCAAGGAACATCTTGCACATGAAAATTGATCTGAAGGTCTGATGACTTCGTCTATGAATTTGTGTGGCTCGTTTTCATCATTTTAGGGAGTTTTAGAATAAATATTGGTCAAATTAAGAGACAATTGAAACCTCGATTGAAACTATGTTTGAGGAACATCAACACATTTGAAATATGATAGATGCAAGATTGAAAAATCAAGTATTTGTGAACAAATTATTACGTTTGATCTGATTTGAATTTTTTACAAGGACTATACACTATGTCCAAGATAAGGATGTCTTTCATGCGCGAAGTACCTACTTCGCGCATTGTTATATAAAATATATGAGATATTTATATTTCAACTTTATGGTCCTCAATCGAGCAGACATCCACAAAATCATTTATTTCTGAATGTTCAACAATAACTTTGTTTTTTCTCTTGGAGCGCACGAAAGGAAATTCCTATTATGTTCGTGGAACATCGTGCGTACCTAGGGAGGATAGGGAGAGACCTTTCAAGCCAGTTCAACCGTTACCACCGATACAACAAGGCCTGCATGCTCCGTGGGTGACGTCACTTAGTGAGGCCTAACCAGCGGCTCGAAACGACAAGCGATTATAGCGCTATAAGGCGACCGCGTATTTCGATTTCAGTTTTAGATCATCATTGAGCCGATTTTGCTGTTTTTTGAAGGGCTTCCGGTTAAAAAAGGATGCCAGTCGTCAACTGAGCCCTTCTTCGCACCCCATTCGATTTTATGATGGAAAAACGAAGTTTTAAAGCAAAAACCAGGATAAAACACAAATATCCTACAGCCTACAGCAACCCATTCGAATTAAATATATTGGCAAAAATTGTGGTGAAGGTAAACTTCACACCTACTTATACACGGCCCGCAGAACATAAACTTATCGTGAGATTGATCGAAAGAAAATTGTGGAAAATGTATTTTATTTTGATTGACATGCCGTTTGTTACAATTACCTATATTTATCTTGGAGAATTCCTATTACCTGAAAAAATAACCAGTGAGTGTTTTCAATTTTCTGTTGTTGGATTTTTCACCCAAGTGGATCGTTACACTTGAAACCGTAATTTTTAAGGGTAAAACTGCATTCATCATGCGATGGTTTTATTTTGAAAATTTTTTTCGGTACTCACGTATTTTTGTCTGATAAACCGAATTTTATAATGAAAATGTGAACAAACCACTATTTATTGAGATATTTCAAGAAAAAGTTCGAAATTTCGCCTTCTTTCTCCCCTTGTGTTGGGGGCATTTGAAGCTACTTGCTCTTATTTTGTCATTGGACACTTTATATACTCATGATGTACTTCGATGGCACATTTTTATATAGAAAATTCAACAGGAAATATACTCGGCTACGCCTCGTTAAAAAAATCAGATCTCGATCACCAAAGTAGCATTTCGCGCTCTAGATACAAAAATAACTATTTTTCGGAAAGTGCTTGTCGGAAAGTGCTTGTCAAAAAATGGTCGCCATTTGAAAAATAATAGTTAGACACGAAAATGTAAATTTGCCAACTTGTTTTATCCATATCTATCATATTTGTCACTAAAACTTCGCGATTGTAATCTTCTGATATCACCTGAGGCCTTAGATTAGTTTACTTTCGATCATGGCCACCTAGACGTGATTTCAAAAGTGACTCCGACAAAATTAAGTAGGCATAAAAACTTTCGAAAATGTTACATTCTGACCTAGAATTGTCTCAGAAATCCAAAAATGTTACAATATACAGGGTGTTCCATTTAAAAATTTAGAACCGGAGTCATTTTCGCTGAAACCGGAAGTGACCGGAAAGTGAAAAATATGTGAAAACTCTCCTCTCGACATACCATTTACTTATACCAAATTTCATTTTGATACACCTAATGGTCTAGAAGTTATGACTTGTCTAATAGATTCGTTGACACCCGGTATACTAATATTATAATGAGGAAAAATTTGATTGTTTGTTTGTTTGTATGTATTGAATAGGCTCCGAAACTACTGGATCGATTTGGCTGAAAATTGGTGGGGAGGTAGCTTAGAACCAGGGGAAGGTTATAGAATACTTTTTATCCCGGTACCATTAGGAAATTCAAGATGGCGGATCTAATATATCGGACGAGTTTTGTAATTATGGTCCGATTCTATTCAAAATTGTTATTTGTGGGGTTTTAGGGGTCGGAGATCATGATTCTTTCGTCAGAATTTGAAAATTCCGGCAGAATGTCGAAATTCAAGATGTCGGAACCAATATGGCGGACGGGTTTTGTAATTATAATCCGATTCTTTTCAAAATTGGTACCTAGGGGTTTTCGTGATCGAAGATTATGATTCCTTCGTCAAAATTTGAAAAATTCAAGATGGCAGATCAAAAATGGCGGATTTTGTGATTAGGATCCGATTTTAATCAAATTTGGTAACCGATGGTTCTCGGGGTCGGAGATTATTTCGTCAAAATTAGAAAATTCAAGATGGCGGAACCAATATGGCGGACGAGTTTTGTTATTATAATCCGATTCTTTTCAAAATTGGTACCTAGGGATTTTCGTGATCGGGGATTATGATTCCTTCGTCAAAATTTAAAAAATTCAAGATGGCAGATCAAAAATGGCGGATTTTGTGATTAGGATCCGATTTTAATCAAATTTGGTAACCGGTGGTTCTCGGGGTCGGAGATTATGATTATTTCGTCAAAATTAGAAAATTCAAGATGGCGGAACCAATATGGCGGACGAGTATTGTAATTATGATCCGACTCTCTTCAAAATTGTTATCTGGGTGTTTTCAGGGTCGGAGATTATGATTCTTTTGTCAAAATTTGGAAAGGGCGGGATTTGGAAATTCAAGATGGTGGAACTAATATACCGGACGAGTATTGTAATTATATACCGATTCTATTAAAAATTTGTAAGTGGGCATTTTTGGGATCAAAAATTATGATTCCTTCGTCAAAACTAGGGATTCCAAGATGGTAAATCCAATATTGCAGACGAGTTTTGTAATTATGTTCCGATTCTATACAAAATTGTTATCTGGGGTTTTAGGAGTCAGATATTATGATTCTTTCATCAAAACTGGGAAATTCAAGTGAAGTAAAAAGAAGTTAAAATAAATGGTAGTTTGAAAGACTAAAGAAACATGCTTTTATACATAGCAGAACTGAAAAGAAGTAGAAAACAAAATAATAATAGTATCTTGATGAATACTGAACTGAAAAAATATATTATAGAAATAATCTCGGAAATAATGTATACAGGGTGGGCCACCAGTAACGCCTCGGTCTCTAGAAGGCTAACCACTTATCTTCTTGGAATTCTTCCTCTCTAGGAAGTTGCATGTCAACATAGGCTACCATTTAAAATTATTTCGAAACATACAGGGTGTCCCCAAAAACCATAAAACACTGAAGTTAAACTTTTTTCTATCGAACACCCTATATATTATTTCATTTTGAGATTTTCCCTAATGAGCTGATTTCAACGACCCATCATACTTGGGGTCTAGCAGCTATAATTACTTAAATATAGGGTGTGAAAAATCGAGATTTTCCAAGTTCAAGAATTTTTTGTGTCGAAACTATTTATAATTGGTCAAAACGGCTTACATGTCCCTATCTCAACTTTTGATTAACTATCTACTGATATTTGATTGGGACATTTACCGGGTGATCAAGATTCTGAATTCTGCACCACCCTGTATTTGTTTCAATTAAATGTCAGTAGATAGTTGATCAAAAGTTGAGATAGGGACATGTGAGCCGTTTTGACCAATTATGAATGGTTTAGAAGACACAAACAATTCTTGAACTTGGAAAATCTCGATTTCTCACACCCTATATTTCAGTAATTATAACTGCTAGACCCCATGTATGATGGGTCGTTGAAATCAGCTCCTCAGGGAGAATCTCAAAATGAAATAATATATAAGGTGTTCGATAGAAAAAAGTTCAACTTCAGTGTTTTATGGTTTTTGCGGGTTTTTGGGGACACCCTGTATGTTTCGAAATAATTTTAAATGGTAGCCTATGTTGACATGCAACTTCCTAGAGAGAAAGAATTCCAAGAAGATAAGTGGTTAGCCTTCTAGAGACCTAGGCGTTACTGGTGGCCCACCCTGTATAGCAAAACAACATTTGTGAGGTCTGCTAGTCTTGTATGAATGTATACAATACTGTCTTCAACATATGGGCTCAGGGGGCCAGTGCCCAGGGCCCCCCATCCTCAGGGGGGCCTGAAGGACCCACAATTTTTCTCACATTTATATTTCTTTCAAGTACAGCACCTAACAGTAGGATGACATATTATATTGTTTATTTGATTACCCATGATAAATACAGTGTGTCCCACTTACCATGCTCACCATGGGTATCTTTTCAACAGTGAGAGATACGAGGTTGGTTAAATGACACCAAATGTGTAGTTTGTCAAGGCCAACTATAATGTGAAAAAATATTTTGATAAAATCTATTCGTTTTTGTTTTATAGGCAAAAAACAGATTTTGATCATTTTCATGTCTCCTCCATAACTTCTTTATTTATGAAAATATTCAAATAGGAATTTCACATTCTCATGGCAGTTTTTCAAAGTGATTCCGAAAAAAATATGAAATTTATACCAACTCTTCTAGAATTTGAGATATCAGCACCAACTTTAGTTTTTCAAATGTAGGTCATAGCTCACTATGACTTAGCTACAAATAACTTTTTTTTCTCTCACAAATGATATGTTGCAGTAATAGTTTTGTGTTGATAACAACGGAGTTATCGTCATTTATACAAAAACAAAAAATTATTTGGAAGCCGCCATCTTGAATTTATAAATTTTAACAACAAAATCATCTCCGACCTCAAAAACCCTTACTTACCAATTTTGAGTGGAATAGGACCAAATCTTGTCCGCCATCTTGGAGCAGCTATTTTTTTTAAATTCAACAAAATTTACATAATGTATTGTCACCAAAATTATGAACACCTGCCAAATTTCAAGTTAATCGGAGTTATGGAATTTTTGTTGAAATTAAAAAAAATGGCTGCTCCAAGATGGCGGACAAAATTTGGTCCGATTCCATTCAAAATTGGTAAATGGGGGTTTTTGAGGTCGGAGATCATGATTTTTTTGTTAAAATTTATAAATTCAAGATGGCCGCTTCCAAATAATTTTTTGTTTTTGTATAAATGACAATAACTCCATTGTTATCAACACAAAACTATTACTGCGACATATCATTTGTGAGAGAAAAAAAAGTTATTTGTAGCTATGACCTACATTTGAAAAACTAAAGTTGGTGCTGATATCTCTAATTCTAGAAGAGTTGGTATAAATTTCATATTTTTTTTAAATCACTTTGAAAAACTGTCATGAGAATGTGGAATTCCTATCTGAATATTTTCATAAATAAAGAAGTTATGGAGGAGACATGAAAATGATCAAAATCTGTTTTTTGCATATAAAACAAAAAGGAAAAGATTTTATCAAAATATTTTTTCACATTATAGTTGGCCTTGACAAACTACACATTTGGTGTCATTTAACCAACCTCGTATCTCTCACTGTTAAAAAGATACCCATGGTGAGCATGGTAAGTGGGACACACTGTAGAAGATCATAATAAAAAAAATGTAGGTATAATTTGCTATTTTCACTTTCAATAGGGGCCCTAAATTCTTTTGATCCAAAGGGCCCCAGCACAGTTTAAGAAGACCTTGCTTATATGTACTCACCAACAAACACCTCATTCTCAAAGTATTTGCTATCATAATGACAGGCCAACACCAAATATCTTTCAGCTTCTGGATTTAGTGTTGCAATGATATTTTTAAATGTCTTAGTGCCATGTGGTGTGGCACTTTCGAACTCATCCACCTCTATACTCCAATCTAGCATTTGCAGTTCTTTCTTTATGTAATCAAAAACTTTTTCATGATTGGAGGTGCCCACCACTCTTGGTATGAGTATATTGTCCAAAACTTCATTTGTATAGGTAATGTTAGAGAGACTGGCAATAAAACGGGTGTTTGCATTAGATAGTTGAATGGCTTGGTGGTTCCTCTAAAACACATCAAAATTGAAGTGTCAGTTATTACACATAATTATGATTCATCCAAAATTCATGGTCTCTTTATAGAATTCATTATGTTTTAATAAGAGTTCCAGCATTCTTTTCTTTTAGATGGGTTCATGGAGTCTCACTCAACTCATTATTTTTCAATTTAGTACATTTCTCATGGGAAATATAGGTAACTATTAAGCTGTTGAAATTGAATATAAATAATTTCAATGAACATAACATTAGTTAGATGATTATGATGTACTTACTTGAAGTGTTTTCAATTGACTTCCTCGTCCGTTTACGAACACAGATGCCAGGATGACTGACTTTACTAAAAAAGACAACATTCTGACTCTATCAATATTCCTAGTAACTACAGTCCTACATCAATTCATTATATTTGAAACAAATTTTCATTGACACCATAAAATCATCATAAAATAAACAATAGTAGGGAAAGTATGTTGGTGTATTTTTATTATCTACTTGAATAATGAATTGCCTCTACTCCTACTCAATACTCTTAAGGTACTGTTTACATCAACAACTGAAAAATCGCATTTTTTTCACCAGGAAAAAGGCATAAGTTGAAGGCTTGTATATTCTACAATATTGAATATTACTGAACACAGCACATATCAGATATAGATACGTATAACTCACGTATAACTTTCTATTAAAGGATAAGGAATTATTCAAATTTTAGAAGTAAACATTAGTAAACAAATTACAAATTACATGTAAATGACATGGGACATAACCTTCTTCTTCTTCTTCTTAACTTCTCTCTTGTCATATGACATACAGCCAAATCAGGGACATAACCTTAAAGAACAAAGAACACTACAGGACCACAGCTAGCACTGCTTCTATTTTTCAGCACTTTTCAGTAACAGTAAACTGTGCAGTGTTGCCAATGTTGGTGATTTATCACCAGCTTTGGTGATTTCTTCGTCAATCTGGTGATTTGGTGATTAGTACGGTGTACTTGCAAAGATGAATGCGTTCGTAATTGTGAATGCAGAAGGAGTGGTCTAAACTGCACTAGCATATGCAGCAATTGCTCAGGCCAAGCATGTGATAACATGGACAATAATAACATAGACGACGAGCTAGAGGAGGAGGATAATGTGCTGGAGGATGAGTGAAGTTAATAAAGACATTGAACATTCCAAATTTGAAAGATATTTATGCTTAAGAAGTGAATTTATGTGGCAATGTTCGTAGAAAGTTCAGGGTGGCGGGTTTCTCGATCCGTACCACACCACACTCACCACAGGTTTATATGGCCTAGGCCTGTGGAAGCCTCTTTTCCCTTAAAAAAGAGTGCCCCTTGATAAGGTGGTGAGGTTGTCGTTCCTTCAAGGGCTTATCACTAACATACCACCGGCCACTGAAATAGCAACATTCTTTTACGAAGCTTATTTTTTTAAAAAATTATCAAAATTACGAAAAAGTTAACATTTACACCGTCTGTAACTCTTGAACCGTACAATTTAGAGTGATTATGAAAAGGACCATTCTTATTTCAAATTCAACGTAGAACATTTTTGTATATAACAATGTTTAGGATAAACCGCTTAGTTTTTGAAATATTTACGAAAAACTAAAAAAACTTCCTTCCCCCTCAAAATGGTGTAACTTTTTACCATAGAATCAGGGGACTATTTAGAGCAATTTGGTGTTGGTGGAAAACTTTTAATTTGGATGTTGTGGTTTAGGTCTAATTACACCGTACTACAAGACTTTTTCAACAGGTCAATAATCAAGAAAGCGAAATCTACAAATGAAACTTATTGGAAGTTGTTCGATGTAGTGAGGTCGTTATTTGAAGAAGGTAATCTATGAGAATAATTTGAGGTTATTATATTGTAATTTGCTTTTGGGTGTATGATAAATTGACATTCATCATACAGGGCGTGGAAATGAATTCTGAATTGAGACTCTATCACGAATCTGCGATTAGAGGTCTATAAAAATCACAAGTTTCCATCGTTCAAGTTTGAACCCCCTGATAGGGTATGAAAGTGTTGAAAAGGAATATTCTCAGATAAATTATGAACATACAAAAATGGATATATATTTATATAAAGCAATACATTGAGAATTCGCATTCTCTATATGTGATGAGAATATTTACTCTTTTTCAGAATGATGTGTGTATATACATATTTTTGTCTGAAGGAGAATGCAAATTCTCAATTTCAGAAATTTTTATATTTTATTTTCAAACTCTTATCGTGCGTGTTCAATAGATATAATTCAATGTTCGTCGTGGCATATAGCCAGGAAAGTAGTTGTTTTCTATTGAATTAACTGAAAAAGAGTAAATATTCTCATCACATAGAGAATGCGAATTCTCAATGTATTGCTTTATATAAATATATTATATCCATTTTTGTATGTTCATAATTTATCTGAGAATATTCCTTTTCAACAGATTGTAATTTCTTTGAAACTTGACATCTTCGTTAATGTCTGCATATACTATGGAATATATAGTGGATTTTATGCTTATTAGTTTTATTCAGATGAAGAATAATTATGTAAACAAATAAAAAATTTCCACAACTATTGTACTAGATCATTTGAACTGTTTTGCCAACCATCAAGGAATAGGATCATGGAAAAGTGATTTCGAGTTTCACAGTTTCTTGGTGATGTCGAAACCTGGACCTGCTGCTTGGTAACTATTCGACGTGTAGACGACGTCGCTAAATTACGTTGTAACTACGTCGCTAAATGACGTCGTTTCGATGAGACATATTGACGTCACATTTACGTCTCTTTCACGTCGATAATTTGGTGATCTTGACGTAATTGGTGACGTGTATATGACGTGACAATGACGTGTGAATGCTAGTTGGGAAGAGATCAGACCAGCGGTTCTCTACTTTCTGAGTCGTTAGGGATTGTACAAAAATCCCAGATTCATTCTGAGTGAATTGAGGTCGCTGATGACAACTTTCTGTTCTAATCGTTAGTATCTCTTGAAAAAACCAAGATCCGCAAATTTCCATATTTTATGATGTCAATCGATAGATCTCGTCGAGACCTTCAATTTGATATATTTCACGATAGGTCTATCTTTCTCCGTTGCTGAGATATTCCAGTTTTTCGAAAAGACATGAAACATAACCTCACTTAAGATTTAAAATCGAGCTGGGAGGCTGGAACTGGTACCTAGGGTGAATTGGGTACGGTGATCACGAATTTGGAGAGATATGTCGCTGATATGAAATATAAATACGAATGGTTCATCCTTTCCGATTGAATCCGATGAACTGATGGAACCTGCAGAATCGTTAAGTTCTTTGATGAACAGATTCTGAGATACCGGGCGTTGAAGTTACAAATCGGTTTTTTTTATTCAATTATTTTCTCGAAATTCAATGATGCCTAGTGCAATTTTTTTCGATCATATCATTAACGTACCTCTATATTACTCAATATGATTCAGATGGTTCAGATTATGTAATTGTTCACAGAGTGAAAATTCGATGTAATAATGAAATATCGAGAAAATGATTTAGGCATGCAATATAATATACTATTCTCATTCCATCATGAATCACAATTCATACATTTCATAAAGGGTGATTTGAAAAATTGGTAACACCTATAAGACCGATTTATTCATACACATCCTGTATATTCGAGTGAATTGTTAACCTCCCAAAACCTCCTAAGATAGCTGATACCGTATGAACATGATTTCGTTGGGATATACAGTCTGTCCAAGATAAGGTTGCACAGCATGGGGATCTCGGAAACGGTAGGAGATACGAAGTCGCGGTTAAATGGGGAAAAAGTTGCGCATTCGGAGGCTCATACCAACAGCCTTCGAAAATTTTCAATTTTTTTTTTTTCAGTTTTTCAGTTATATCGAAAAAAGTGAATTTTTTGGAATCTCTATTTTATTTTTCTTCTCCTTTATTATTAGAGATACCTACAGGAAAACTGAAAATACTTTTTCTTAGCAACTTTTGATGACGTTTAACGTGGTGATTCCGATTTTTCTATGCGACGTTTCGTATTCGTAGAACCATCATCAACTTTTGTTTTTCAAATACGGCCCTGATAATTCTTTCACAGATTCTGAAAGCTTTTTTATTCTGAATTCAACCATGTATTATACAAGGTGGCTTGAATGTGTTTCAAACTATTTTTAGCTATCATCAATGTTTTTTTCGAAATTCCAAAGGAAAAATGCCTTCAGTTCCACTTATTTTGAAGGAAAATTAGCCAACAAACTAATATCTCATCAACTAGTTCCGATTGATAGACTTATAGGAATAATTAGTTCGAAAAATTCAATTATGACAAGCTCCTTCGGATTAAAATATGAATACAATTCATAAACAATTCGAAGCGCTGCATTGAATAATTTCGTGGATTTTTTTTTCACTTTTCAGTATTGAATAACTAGTCCATCAATGTTTGACACTGAATGATCAGAAATAAGAGAAACTGATGGCATTTTTCCTTTGGAATTTCAAAAAAAACATTGATGATGGCTAAAAATAGTTCGAAACACATTCAAACCACCTTGTATAATACATGGTTGAATTCAGGATAAAAAAAGCTTTCAGAATCTGTGAAAGCATTATCAGGGCCGTATTTAAAAAACAAAAGTTGATGATGGTTCTACAAATACGAAACGTCGCATAGAAAAATCGGTATCACCACGTTTAACGTCATCAAAAGTTGCTATGAAAAAGTATCTTCGGTTTTCCTGTATCTCTAATAATAACGGAGAAAAAAAATAAAATAGAGATTCCATGAAATCACTTTTTTTGATATAACTGAAAAACTAAAAAAAAAATTGAAAATTTTCGATGGCTGTTGGTATGAGCCTCCGTATGCGCAACTTTTTCCCCATTTAACCGACTTGGTATCCCCTACCGTTTCCGAGATCCCCATGCTGTGCAACCTTATCTTGGACAGAGTGTATATTATATGATGATCATGAAGATTTTCGATGATGAAAATGATAAAAAATCGTGTTTTTTTGAAATTATCCTGTGATTCATGATCAACTCTATAAAATCCCCTAATTATTACTGATAGCAAGCAAATATGAAAATGATGGAAACACCTGATTCTGAGTGGTTAACAAATGTGAAAAAATCTGTCGATTCCAGGATTCAACTCTTCCTATTAGAAATAAATGCGTGAAAGACCGAATCTCCCATTTCCTAGGTATTGTTCGTTTTTCATTTTGACAGAAATTGTATACCAACAAAATTCACCTAACTATCTGTACATTATATTAATATTATCAAATTCATATAGCTGCCATTGGTATTTCTAATCTTCACCCTGTACATGAATACTAAACTTATTTTCGTCTCCACATTCTCACGTTTCACTATTTGTGAAAAATATCGACCACTATGCGAATGTAAGTGAACAAATCTCTTCAACTCTTCATGCAAATGGTAAGTTCCTGAACTGGGTTCCCGGCCTTGAGTAGACCACACTGTATATTATTTTTTTATTAGGTCGAAATAATCACTAGTTGCAACGATAGGCAAGTTTATTATAATATAAAAAGTGAAAAAGTAAAACAAGTTCTAAAAACAAACAACAAGCAAATCTTTGGAATGCAAAAATGTATATAATGCAAAAACAGAGATAATATGACATACAGTGTGTCCCACTTACCATGCACACCATTGGTATCTTTTTAACGGTGAGAGATACGAGCTAGGTCGGTTAAAAATGACACCAAATGTGGAGTTTGTCAAGGCCAACTATAATGTGAAAAAATATTTTGATAAAATCTATTCGTTTTCGTTTTATACGCAAAAAACAGATTTTGATCATTTTCATGTCTCCTCCGTAACTTCTTTATTTATGAAAATATTCAAATAGGACTTTCACATTCTCATGGCAGTTTTTCAAAGTGATTCCGAAAAAAATATGAAATTTATACAAACTCTTCTAGAATTTGAGCTATCAGCACCAACTTTAGTTTTTCAAATGTAGGTCATAGCTCACTATGACTTAAATACAAATAACTTTTTTTTCTCTCACAGATGATATGTCGCAGTAATAGTTTTGTGTTGATAACAACGAAGTTATCGTCCTTTATACAAAAACAAAAAATTATTTGGAAGCGGCCATCTTGAATTTATAAATTTTAACAAAAAAATTATGATTTCCGACCTCAAAAACCCCCATTTACCAATTTTGAATGGAATCGGACCAAATTTTGTCCGCCATCTTGGAGCAGCCATTTTTTTAATTTCAACAAAAATTCCATAACTCCGATTAGCTCGAAATTTGGCAGGTGTTCATAATTTTGGTGACAATACATTATGTAATTTTTGTTGAAATTAAAAAAAATGGCTGCTCCAAGATGGCGGACAAGATTTGGTCCTATTCCACTCAAAATTGGTAAGTAAGGGTTTTTGGGGTCGGAGATGATTTTGTTGTTAAAATTTATAAATTCAAGATGGCGGCTTCCAAATAATTTTTTGTTTTTGTATAAATGACGATAACTCCGTTGTTATCAACACAAAACTATTACTGCGACGTATCATCTGTGAGAGAAAAAAAAGTTATTTGTAGCTAAGTCATAGTGAGCTATGACCTACATTTGAAAAACTAAAGTTGGTGCTGATATCTCAAATTCTAGAAGAGTTTGTATAAATTTCATATTTTTTTCGGAATCACTTTGAAAAACTGCCATGAGAATGTGAAATTCCTATTTGAATATTTTCATAAATAAAGAAGTTACGGAGGAGACATGAGAATGATCAGAATCTGATTTTTGCGTATAAAACAAAAACGAATAGATTTCATCAAGATATTTTTTCACATTATAGTTGGCCTTGACAAACTCCACATTTGGTGTCATTTAACCGACCTCGTATCTCTCACCGTTAAAAAGATATCCATGGTGAGCATGGTAAGTGGGACACACTGTATAGTTGAATCCTTTCCAAACTAAAAATTAATCCTCTTTGTGCTCACATTCCTTTTCGTGTTGGAAAAGCATCTTAACTTGTCCAGAAAAGTTACAACCCTTCTCAGCGAATGAACAGCTCAGCATCAAAACTTCAGCTAAATTTTCCAGGGGCAAATTTCTGGATATTCCAAATTTAGTTCGGCATGAAGGACAGAAATCTAATTTGGATTTACATGTGATGCAAACTACGTGTCCATGTTCGCAGTTGAAAATGTCTCCGATCATATATTCCTTACAAATAGGGCACTGCAAACTGTCCCTCAACTGATTCGTTTGATCAGATATATGATCGTTCGGTTCTATGTCATTGTTCAGAGATTGGTCGTTTGCAACAATTTCTAATTTGAGATTTATCTCTTTAGTATCCTTGAATAAGGGTTGTATCAGATCTAAATAAATTCTTTTGCCCCATGAATCAATTCGTGGTATACCTAGCGATTGATAGTTTTTCGATTTATGGTGATGAATCAGAGTACATTCTTTCAGAATGCAGTTGAAACAGTAGGTTCTTTCATCGTATTTCATGATATACTGCTGTTCAAACATTACACATGCGTCACTTGAAATACTGGCCAATTTCAAATTGAATTTGAACGATGTATTCTTATTCGATGAAGTAACAAAAATATCAAAAGAAGGATTACCACCAACGATGAAAATGAAAAATATTTGTTTCTCAAATACCAAGACGCAAGGCAGATTCTTAGAAGTGTCGCATTTGATTGTGAAAGATTCGTAAAAAATATTGCTTCTATGTTTGTTCAAACAATGTTTCTCCAAATTCTTCATTTTGTATGCGGATTTGCAGCCTTGTTGGTCGATCGGACACATGACTGTCCTCTCATTGCAGACTTCTTCGTGCTTTTTCACTTCACCCCACGATAATACCTCATCGCAGCCTTCGTAGATGCAAGGGAATGATAATAGTTTTGCGATCTTCTCGAAAGCATAGTCCCGACCCAACGATTCTTTCGGTACAAATTTGCATCTCCCGCATCGTAGTTGTTTGCCATCTTTGGAAAGCAGGTCTACTGGTGGTACTGACACGATGTTGAAGCATAGAGAGCATTTCAGTGTTGCCATTTCTCTTTGAATGAGCTGTTCCAATGAATCTGCCATGATGATATCCTGTTCGAATTAATTCAAATGTCAATAATGTAGGTGAGTACTTACAACAATAAATAGTAGATTGTTTTATTAGGATCAAAAGTGATACTTTGTTTGACAAGCGAATTTTGCATTTGCGAGGCGGAGCGTTTAGCGAAGCCGAGCGAAAGCAAACTTTGCGAGTCGAACAAAGTCACTTTTGATCCGAATTAAACATGCTATTTTTTCTGCAACCGAAACAATTAACTCAAATAAACATGTGAAGTAACCACCAATGCCGTGCCATATGATTGCAATGCAACAAATATTCACAAATAATCCGTGTTCCGTGTGGTGAGAATATTCTACCTGCATTAACAGCAGCTTAGGTTCTCAAGGATGTTCGAATTGTAGTTTCAATATGAATACAACCACAGAGTGACATATTTGTGTATGGACCAGGTGCTCTAATGGCAAATACCGCGCCAGTGCCAGCTATAGGAACAAGACGAGGAAAATGTTAGGTTAGTGAGCATATCAACAATGATAATAGTGATTATTTATTCCTCTCCATACTACACTGTGTTTGACTTGATAATCAAATGAAGCTAAACAACATCGTCGTTTGAGACAAAAAAACGATTGCTTGCCGTGATTATTCAAAAACAAGTTATCCATCCCGAGAATGACGATGCAAGTATGTGAATCTTGAAGGCTTCCCTGATCGAAACAAAAATACTTAACTGAGATGTTTATAATTCCAATACTAAACTATAATAAGGTGTAAGTATTTATATCTGCAGCATGGGTATGAAATGCCAAAGCTGCTGAAATCGGAAACAAATCAGGTATGCGTCTCAACCCAAATAACCAACCGTCACAATGTTGTTTATTCTCGATGACGTCCAGTACATCCTTATTAGTTCCTAGGAGCTAAAGTGCAACTTTAGCTCCAAGGAACTAAAATTCAACTTTAGCTCCTAGGAACTAAATATGTTGCCTAGCAACATACCTATTTTTGTGTCAGTAATAGAAACGTCAATTTAAGAGCTAATTTTGGTATCAAAATGGACGACTTTTGTGTCGGTTGCAAAAAAATGTATTTTATTGAAAACTTTCATCGAAATATACAGGGTGAGTCATGACTAACCAGCCATAGCCTAATGGCGGATAGAGGAATTCAAGGTGAGTTGATATATACACTCACCGGCACAAAATTCCGCCACCCTGAAATTTTGTCCAAGTTAGATGTTTTATAACTTATTTATTTTTTATCCGATTTTCATGATTTTGTTATCAGTTTGTAGATCCATTTATCACGTTTTTCTTCAATTATTTCATAAAGTATCATTTTTCGATTAGGCTATATTATACAGGAGGAAATAAAAATGTTGTGTTTTGTTGAAATGTCAAAACACCCTGTAGGGAAACAGGTGGATAATTTTGTTTACATACTGTTTCTTGTAATCTCTGATGTATTCTAAACATTTGTTTGTTTTTTTTTATCCATTCCATCATCTCATTTGTGCTGGGAGCTGCAAAATTTTTAATTGAAACGATGTTATTTTTTGAAAATGGTCAAGCTTTCGGTTAAAAATTATCGACGTTGGCCTGGAGGCAAAATATTGAAACACAACCTCACTCTTCTGTGAATTATTGAAACACAACCTCACTTTTTTATTTGGTTACAGAGGAATCAAAGGATTGAAATAGTTTTTCACAATATTTCGACAAAAAAATTCATAACTTTGATATGAACGAGATATAGTCAACGATATCATAGGAGTGGATGAAGGTCACAGGGATGCTTCAAAAAATATGCAAATATACAGGGCATTCCATTTAAAAAAATGATCCCGACCCTCTTGATTATTTTTGGTACGCCCTGTATATGCGGCAATAATTTCTAGTCATGGACCTTGTTGTCTCATTCACATTCGTTTTTGAATCAAGTTTCTAGCTATCATAGATGTCGAGCAATCAAGCTGTGACGCACTAATGCCCCACCCTGTATACAGTAGAGGACATTTTAGCTGGGACCTATATTACCTAAAGACCACCCTGAATAATAAATTAATAAATCATATTCATAATAGTTATTTATGTAATAAGGATCAGAAAGACGATCATTATGGTACAAGTCGTGAATGTTATCGGGCGAGGCGTAGCCGAGTCCGATAACACGGCGTGTGCCATAATGATTGTTTATGATTCGTATTACATACAAAATTTTATCTGATGGCATTTATATCAATACATTTTCGACAAATTAAAAACTGCATTTTTGACATGTCACAATGACAACTATTTTTAAAGGAGTAAGTATTGTGTAGTTTCAAATATTAGTAGGTGAGTGAGCTGTGCTTTGCCATTATATTAATATTACAAATTGTAGTAATTGTTCTTTTACCATTTATAATAAATAGTTTTGTACATAGTTATGCATTTTGAATAAACTTTTTTGTTCAAACCATTACATGTTTTCCTTATAGAATTTCATTATGATTATGGTACTTAGTCCCATAATGAGCTTCCTTATGTCATCAAAATTGAGTGACATAACGTTGTCATTATGACATGCCATCAGATAAAGTCATAAACATAACGTGAGATATGTGAAACGACGTGTGAAACACTCGGAAGGAAATAATTAGCCTCATTGTGAATTTGATTGGTGAATTCAGAATTGATTACTGAAATTAACTAACCAATCATTACCCGATATTTATGTCAGGACCAAAAGCTTTCGTTTTGAAATCCCCAATCCCCATTCAACGACATAAATGTGATTTATGCTGCGAGTTTATAGATTGAACGATTGAACTAAACTAAGAATAATTGAAAATTGAACTAACAACTATGAACTTAGAAAGTTTATTACATGGAAACATCTATGAGGGTTTTTACATTCACATCTGTCAATTAAATTAAGAATTAAATTACAAAGTTGGTCAACCTTCAACTTAACAACTTAGAATTTGGAAATTAGGAAAGAGGAGGGATTTTTATTGTTCAAGTGGAGTTTGGTGATATTTAATTGGAACATCATTTTGATCTACAATCAGAAGACATTTCATATCTGATTCTTAATTATTATCAGATATATGTATCAGCCTCATGATTATTAAAAATGTTGATTGTTAATTCCAAATTGTTAGTTTAATTGAATCTATGAACCCAGCATTAACGATGATATGAATATTCAAATTTTTCCTTACCTCTGAATTCGATTGCCAACTTGATCAAACAGTTTTTCGGCACTTTTTTAACCCTTCTTGATACTCAGACCAGACAACAAAATGATCATGTATATCATGGAAAGACGAAAGAAAAAGTGGGAAGTCCCGGTCGCTGTGCGTGGTCGTTCCAGTGTTGCCGATTCAGAATTTCAGTTTGTACTAGAAGTCATTCCGAAATTGTACTAAATTCAAGTCAATTGTGCTAAATTGAAAAAATGACACTTTGAAATTTACGAATCCAACTTTTGATGGAAAACTTCATATCTATTAATAATAATTAAAAATATACAACACATGAAACGCCTCTGAAAACGGAGGTCATGGAACAGCAGTGAGTCGAAAATTAGAAAAGATATAATAATAGTAGATTGTTTTATTAGGATCAAAAGTGACACTTTGTTTGACAAGCGAATTTTGCATTTGCGAGGCGGAGCGTTCAGCGAAGCCGAGCGAAAGCAAAATTTGCGAGTCGAACAAAGTCACTTTTGATCCGAATGAAACATGCTATTTTTTCTGCAACCGAAACAATTAACTCAAATAAACATGTGAAGTAACCACCAATGTCGTGCCATATGTATGCAATGCAACAAATATTGACAAATAATCCCTGTGGTGAGAATATTCTACCTGCATTAACAGCAGGTTAGTTTTTCAAGGATGTTCGAATTGTAGTTTCAATATGAATACAACCACAGAGTGACATATTTGTGTATGGACCAGGTGCTCTAATGGCGAATACCGCGCCAGTGCCAGCTATGGGAACAAGACGTGGAAAATGTTAGGTTAATGAGCATATCAACAATGATAATAGTGATTATTTATTCCTCTCCATACTACACTGTGTTTGACTTGATAATCTAATGAAGCTGAACAATATCGTTGTTTGAGACAAAAAAACTATTGCTTACCGTGATTATTCAAAAACAAGTTATCCATCCCGAGAATAACGAATGAAATACAGATCAAGCAAGTATTTGAATCTTGAAGACTTCCCTGATCAGAACAAAAATACTCCACTGAGATGTTTATAATTCTAATACTAAACTATGATGAGGTGTATTTATATCTCCAGCATGGGTATGAAATGCCTAATCTGCTGAAATCGGAAAAAAATCAGGTATGCGTCTCAACCCAAATAACCAAACCGTCACAATGTTGTTTATTCTTTTGATGACGTCCAGTAGACCTTTTTAGTTCCTAGGAGCTAAAGTTCAACTTTAGCTCCTAGGAACTAAAATTCAACTTTAGCTCCTAGGAACTAAATATGTTGCCTAGCAACATACCTATTTTTGTGTCAGTAATAGAAACGTCCATTTAAGAGCTAATTTTGGTATCAAAATGGACGACTTTTGTGTCGGTTGCAGAAAAAAGAAAGTAAGAAGCATATTATTATGATATGAAAAAGAACAGATCTTATATAGAGATCATAGATTGAGATCAACTACAATATTAATTATATATCAATAAGATGAAGTCAATGACTCGAACTCCAAAGACAATTCAATTCATCAATAACTATAGCTTACATATTGTTTCTCTGTTTTTGACATGGATATTATGAACTTTTTATCAATAAAACAGCTTTTATTAGGAGTTCAATTATATGATAGATGCGCTTTTTTGTCGTATTTCGTTGTGTGTCATCGCAGTCTGCCATGTATCTTCAAAATCAGAAGAGACTGATATGTTTTTATATGAATTTTATTGATTAATAGTAACTCTATCATCTAAAATCTTTCAAGAATCTTAAGAATTCTCAATATATTTTTTTTCTATCTAATGGAAACAAAGAACAATACTTTAAGATGTGTCAATTGTCATGTCAGTCACAAATAAGCGATTCGAAAGTGCGCATTTATTTATTGTTTCTCCTGATAATTGCTGTTTGCAAAAATAGCTTGGGCTATCACACTTTTGTTTTTGTACTAGATTATTTTCAATTGTATTGACGTACTAAATGTGTATGAAATGTACTAGAAAAGTACAATCGTACTAGAAACGGCAACTCTGGGTCGTTCACGTATATCAATACCCGGTGATTCCCCGCGTAGTGGTGAAGTGTGAAGTCAATGAAGTATTGCCAACCCAACAGTTACCACTGAACTATATATTCGCATACATAGATCAGTGACAGTTACCGGAGACGTGCCATCTAGAGACAGGAGGCAAAAGAGACGCAACAATTAGGCAATGCAGAAGCAATCAGTGTACCGTTACCAGATTTGGAGAAATTTCCTCAGATCTGAGGAAGTTCAACAAGGTCCAGAGCCCAGAGGACATTTTGAGGAACTGAGGAAATTCAATAAAATGTTGAGGAAATGTTGTGTGGAAGTAGTCCTTGACACCACAGAACTGAAGTTGTGACGTGTGAACACGAACTATTTCGTTTTGGACAAAGATGTCCAATATTTTATTAATCGGCGATGGAAGTAAAATATATAGACTTTTCAAAATTCGTGTCCAATCTACCCCATGTCTGTGTGGAAGCTTTTTCTGCTGTGAATCTAATGAATCTATATAAGATCAAAATTAGAAATAGACTGACAACCTGATACTTTTATCAAAATAATTGATAGGGTATATAATGACAATTGTTATGATTACGTCATACCTGAGTAAGATGTCTGTCAACTTATAAACATCTCATACCTGAGGTAGCATACCAAAAAATCAATAAGGATATGTATGATGATGAGAATCAATCTGTATAGGTAGGTACTGTGTTTTCCATAAAGATGTCTATTTGATGTGTCTGTAGTAGGTCTTTACAAAAACATACCACATATTCCTTACACCAAAATAAGTCGATTTAAGTAGAATTACCTTAGTACAAAAGTTGCATCGTTTGGGCTCCAGAGGGCTTTGAAGTTACAATTTTCAAATCGTTTTTCCCATATAAATTTAAAACGGCATATGCGATTTTGCTGAAATTTGGTATATTGATAAAGTTTTATGTGGCAAGAAAAATGGTGTTAAAATTTTGTCCGATAATGATAGATAGGCGTAGAACTTGATTTTTTAAATAATTGCACCTTTAAAAATTCTACGCCAATGAAAAAAAAGGAGGAGTATGAAATTTAGATTGCGCGACTCATTTACTTTAAAAAAGGTACTCGTGATAAGACTCGATTGCTCTCATATAGTTTTGACGAAATTTGCATTTTAGTAATTTTAGATCATAAACAATAATTATTAAAATACAAACTTTGTCAAAACCATGAGAGTAAATCGAGTGTTATCAAGGGTACATTTTTGTAGTAAATGAGTACCCAATCCAAATTTTATACTCAAACCCCTTTTCTGCCATTGGCGTAGAACTTGATTTTTCAAATAATAGCACCTTTAAAAATTCTACGCCAATGGCAAAAAAGGGGTTTGAGTATGAAATTTGGATTGGGTACTCATTTACTACAAAAAAGTACCCTTGATAACACTCGATTTACTCTCATGGTTTTGACAGAGTTTGTATTTTAATAATTATTGTTTATGTTCTAAAATTACTAAATTGCAAATTTCGTCAAAACCATGAGAGCAATCGTGTCTTATCAAGAGTACCTTTTTTAAAGTAAATGAGTTGCGCAATCTTAATTTCATACTCAAACTCCTTTTCTTCCATTGGCGTAGAATTTTTAAACAAAACTTTGGAATGGCCATGGAATCGCCATTATCTCCAATTCGAAGCAATATACTTATGGAGAATTTCGAAGACAACATCATCAAAAATTACCAAAAACAACCTAAAACATAGTGGCGATACGTATAGATGATATTTTCATAATTTGGCCACATAACCTTATGAAGCTGTAGATAACTTTCTGGATTATGTGAACAATGCCGAACCTACCATAAAATTCACTTTGGAAATTGAATCTAACAATCAGTTACCATTTCTATATTTTCTTATTGAGAAATCAAATAACATCTTGAACTTTCAATCAAATCATATCAGAAAAGTATTAAGAAAGAAATAATCAAATCACTCCATGATAGAGCCAAATCAATATCATCTGACCAATAAATTTTCAATAACGAAGTCTACCACATTGAAAATAATAATAATAATCTTTATTTTCCTTTAAGACAAAGTTACAAAATTTGTATAGGAATCGTCAAGAAACAAGAAGAGAGAAGGAGATCGGAGATTGAACAATCCTGAAAAAAAGAGGACGGAAACTACCTACTTATACACAAAAATTCTTCAAAACTATAATAACACTTATCAACAAGATGAATCTTGAGTGTTCGTTCAAACATTGAAACAGTTTTGGATTCTTTTATAAAATCTGGTAGCAAATTATAAACACGTGTAGCCATCAGGTCAGGAGATTCGAAAGCTAATTTGGTTTTTCCAAATGGTACATAAACATTGTTTTTTTGTCTTGTATCAATATTATGTTTACATTTATTCAGTACAAAGAATTTATTTCTATTCTCGAACACAGATAAGCACAAGTCAAAATTTAAAAGACTAGGGACAGTTAAAATTTTAAAATTTCTGAAAGCTGGTCTGCATGAATCTAGAAGACCTATGCCACTATAATAATTCGTATGAGTTTTTTTTGTGCTATGAAGACGTCAGATCAGCTAGAGTAAAAACCCCAGTAGCACACTCCATATCTCAGTCTGGAATCCACCTGAGCATAGTACAGTAGAGTTAATTTTTTTGATCAGAAAATCACAGTGATTCTGCCAATTTAAATGTTCATCAATGTGAAGACCTAAAAATTTTAAGCTCTCACCTCTGTTGTTACAGTGTCAGAATTATCATTAGCTCTAAAGCTTATGATATCACACCTCCGTTGCCGATGATGGAACCTCATTGAATCTGTTTTTTTCGCGTTCAAAAACAAATTGTTTGCAGAAAACCATTTGTTGATATTTTCAAAAACTTTGTCACATTTTTCTTTCAAAACTGAATCTGATCTGTCAGAAATTATAATTGGCGTGTCGTCTGCATACATTTTTATGAATGTTCCAGGAATTGAATATTCCAAATCATTTATATATAAAACAAACAATATGGGTCCCAATATCGGCCCTTGAGGCACTCCTAATTCAGAGAAGACCATGCTGGAAGTTGCTTTGTTAATAGCGACGTATTGTTTTCTATAAGAAAGATAGTCTG